AAGAAGAAGAAGAAGAAGAAGAAGAAGAAGAAGAAGAAGAAGAAGAAGGAAAAGGAGGAAGAGAAGGGAGAGGAGAGGGAGGGGGAGGAGGGGAGGGAGAGGAGAGGAGGGGGAGGGGGAGGGAAGAAGGGGAGGAGGGGGAAGGGGAGGAGGGGAAGGAGAAGAGGCTGAGCAAATTCCAACATAATAAATCCAAAGAAACTAATATCAAGATAAATTCTAGTCTAACCTCTGAAAACTAAAGCAAAGAAAAAAAAAGTTGAAACCAGTGAAAGAGAATGACATATTGCCTATAGGGGAAAAACCATTTGAATGACAGATAATTTCTCATCAGAAAACATGGAGACCACAGAGAAATAGCTCAACATTTTCAAGTCCAGGCAGCAGTGGGGGGTGAGAGGTGGAATGCTGCCAACCCAGAATTTTATATCTAGAAAAATATTTTTTTTAAGAATGGAGGGGAAATCAAGACATTCTCAGATGAAGAAAAAGTAAGCAATTGTGTTGCCAGCCAACATAACCTAAAAGAATGGCTAAAGAAGCTTCTTTCAACAGAAAGTAAATAATAAAATAAGGAATCTTGAAGCATTAGAAAGAAAGATCAATGAAAAAAGTAAGAAATATGGGTAAATACCACAAACTTTCCTCCTCCTCTTAAGTTTTCTAAATTATGTTTGATGGTTGGAGTAAAAACTACAACACTCTGATATTGTTCTCAATAGACGTGGAGGAAATTTTTAGGACAAGTGTATTCTAAATAGGGAAATACTAGAAATGTGTAAAATAAAAGAAAGTTTTTATCCTTTACTTGAACTAGTAAAATTTTGAAGACATCAGACTATGAAAACATGTGTATGTATAATGAACTACCTAAAGCTACCACACAAAAAGCTATACAAAGAGATACACACAAAAGAAACATGGTAGTTATATCAAAATGAAAGTCTAAAAATATTCAAGTAACCCACAGGAAGGCAGAAAAATGAAAAGAAAGAAATGAAAATGAGAGAACAAACAAAACAAAAAATAATAGCTAACTTAAGCCCAAACATATTGATAGTTACATTAAATGCAAGTGCTCTAAATACACAAATTAAAGGTGGAGATTGGTAGAGCATATAAAATTCATGACACCCAAAATATTCTGTCTATAAGAAAATCACTTCAAATATATTGATATGGGTAGGTTGAAAGTAAAATGATGGAAAATATATGCCATACTGCATGGAAACATATCAAAAGAAGGGAAGAATTGCTGTAATAACATCAGATGAAGGAAACCTCAGCACAAAGAAAATTACCAGAGACAAACATTACATAATGTTAAAAGGGTCAACTTACGAAAAAGACATAGCAATCCTAAATATGTATGCATCAAATAAGAGAGTTTCAAAATCTGTGAAGAACAACTGGTAGAAATAAAGGAGGAACAGACAAATCCACACTTACAATTGGAGACTTCAACACTTCTCTCTCAAAATCGGTAGGACAACTAGGAAAATAGTTGGCACATATATAGAAGAACTTGATATCATCAACTAAAGACTCTATTCAACATTTTAATCATTTTTCAGTGAACACTTCATTGGCATTAAGTTGTTGGCATTCACGTTGTTGTGAAAACATCCATCTCCAGAGCTTTTTCATCATCCCATCCTGAAACTCTTGTATCCATTAAGTAAAAACTCCCCACTCCCCCCTACTTTCTGTCTCCAAAAAAAAAAAGAAACTCCATATACATTACCAGTCACTACTCATTTTTCCTCAACTTTCCAGTCCTAGGCTTTCTGTCTCTATAGAAATGCCTATTCTGGATATTTTATGTAAGTGGAATCATACACTATATAGCCTTCTGTGACTGACTTCTTTCACTTAAAATAATGTTTTCAAGGTTCATCTATGTTGCAGCAGGTAGCAATATTTTATTCATATTCTGATTATTTATTGAAAATGTGTAAAAATATAATTAATATTTGAATATTGATCTTGTATCCTGACACCTTGATGAACTCATTTATTGGCTCTAATGTTGTTTAATGGATTTCTTAGAGTTTTCTGCATACAAGATCATGTCATCTGCAAATATAGTTTCCAATCTGGATTTTTCTTGCCTAAATGTCCTGGCTAGAAACTCCGAGAAAACGTTAAATAGAATGGGTGGGAACAGAAATCCTTGTCTTGTTCCTGATATTACAGGGAACGTATTCAGTCTTTTACCATTAAGTATGATGTTAACTGTGTGATTTTCAATGATACCTTTTAACAGATTGAGGAAGTTACCTTTTATTCCTAATTTGTTGAGAGTTTTCATCATGTTGAGTATTGGATTTGTCATATTATTTTCTGTATCTATTGAGATGATCCTGTGGGGGTTTTATTTGTTTGTTTATTGTATTAATATGGTATGTTACATTAGCTGATTTTTTAATGTTAAACCAACTTTACATTCCTGGGATAAATTCCAGTGGGCTGTAGTGCATAAGCCTTTTATATATTGCTGGATTTAATTTGCTAATATTTTGTTGAAGGTTTTTGCATGTATATTCATGAGGAATACTAACCTGTAGTTTTCTTTTCTGATGATGTCTTTGTCAGGTTTTGGTATCAGGGTAATATGGCTTCATAGAATTAGCTCCCTCCACCTCTGTTTTCAGAAAGAATTTGTGAAAAGTTGATATTCTTCTTTAAATTCTTGGTAGAATTCACCAGTGAAGCTATCTGGGCCTGGGCTTTTCTTTGTGAGAAGTTTTTAGATTATTAACCCAAATCTTTACTTCTTATAGGTCGCTTCAGATTGCATATTTCTTCTTGAGTCAGTTTCTATAATTCGTGTCATTCTCAGAATTTGCCCACTTATTTTAGTCTAAGTTGTCTAATTTGTGGGAATACAGTTGCCTATCACATTTCCTTATAATACATTTTATTTCTATAAGATCATTCCTTATTTTAGTAATTTGCATGTTTCCTATTTCTTTCTTGGTCAGTCTTGTTAAAGGTCTGTCAATTCTATCGATCTTTTTGAAGAACTAACTTTTGGTTTTTAAAATTTTCACTATTGTTTTCCTTTTC